GACTTAAATGTAAGTAGTGAAACCATAAAAATCCTAGAAGAAACCATAGGCAGCAAAATCTCAGACATTTCACATAGCAATATGTTTACTGATACATCTCCTATGAAAAGGGGAACTAAGGAGAAAACAAACAAATGGGATACATCAAAATAAAAAGCTTCTGCACAGCAAAAGAAACCATCAACAAAACAAAAAGAGAGCCCACTGTATGGGAGAACATATTTGGCAATCATACATCTGATAAGGGGTTAATATCCAAAATATATAAGGAACTCATACAACTTAACAAAGGGAAGAAAAAAAATCCAATTAAAAAATGGCCAAAGGAAAACCAAGATGGCGGCATAGGTAAACACCAGAGTTTGCTGCCTCGAACAACCACTTCAAAAATACAACTAAAAGACGGAATGGACATCAACCAGAACCACAGGAAGGCTGGCTGAGGAGGGACTCTTCAACTAGAAGGAAAAACAACAGTATTAGGAGGCTTAGAGGAGGCGCAGTGTGGAAAATTTAAAGGTACGGTGGTGCGGCGGTGCGCGCGCAAAGCGGGCTGGTGGCTGAGGTCGCGGTTGTCGTTTTCAGTCGGGAGTGAGTCTCAGACACTGGGCTACAGATCCGGGCGAGTCTCTAGGGACCCAGACTCAAACGGGAGAAGCGGGACTGTCTGGCTACGGTCCCTACGAGGTTTGCAGCGGTTGCGGGGACAGAGAGGCAGAGCCCCTGGAGACGGACTGAGAGCGGCCATAGCTGCTCCCTCCCCCCGCCCTGTTGAGCCCGCCCCGCCCAAACCCTGCGCAGAGCCATTTGCCAATCGCCTCAGGCAAAGGCTGGACTAGCGCCTCCCCAGAGGCCTGAAGTTTTCCCACAGCTGATTCCTACAGCCAGTCGGCCTGGTGGTCAAATCCCTCTAGTGTTAACTACAACAATTAAGGCTTGGCTAGAACAAGAGAGAGAGAGAGAGAGAGAGAGAGAGAGAGAGAGAGAGAGAGAAACATCGATGCCTGCAACCGAGGTATGTGCCCTTGACCAGAATTGAACCCGTGACTCTTTAGTCTATGGGCCTATGCTCAATCCACTGAGCCAAACTGGCTAGGGCCATATAAAAATATTTTAAAAATCTACTTGTAGTCATTTAAAAAACTGTCATAGAAACACACAAATACAATGTTGCCTTGTGTAAGCAAAACTGGGAAAAATATGCTCTTAGTTTACATTACAATTTCTGGTAAAAAGGGTTTAATTAGGAAGGTTACAGCTCTGCATTTGTCTTCCTAAAATTTAGGCTTGACCATTTCTGCTCACATAAAATAGAACATATTACATCATATTGTGGAACATTAAACACTAGCTTACACTTAGCAATATCAGCTTGATACATTACTACTCTCAAAGCTAATGGTAAAGTTTTTGTTTCAAAGTTGTAACAAACAGTATCTAACAACTGCTTACTTTAAATAACATGAGGAAAGATGAATCAAAGACAAAATCACTTGAAAATCAACTTTGCAAAGAAAATACCAGGTTACCATTCTACGTAGGCCTGTAGAATAATATCTATGTTTCATTCTATATAGCATATATATTCATATAAAACAGAGATTGGCCATTGATAGAGATCAATGAATACATCCTTAAGTTAAAAATTACATATTTTAATATAATAAAAATTGTTTATATTACCTGTTCATAATTTAAACGTTGAATTTCTGAAATTTCTTTTGGCTTTGCATCAAGCATGTAATCTCCTGTAAAAAGAAATTGTGAAATTGCCTTTAAAAAAGATTAGATTTAAATTTTAAATTACAGCAATAAGTGACATATAAAATTAACCACCTAATTCTAATCAGAGAAAATTGATATTAGTCTCACATATATATATTTTTAATCATCACCTGAGGATATGTCCATTGATTTTAGAGAGAGAGGAGAGAAACATCAAAGTAAGAGAGAAACATCAATCAGCCCCCACACCCTGGATGCACCCCAACCATGGATCAAACCCAATGCCACAACCTAGTTATGTGCCCTGACCGGGAATTGAACCCGCAACCCTTCAGTTTCTGGGACAACTCTCCAACCAAGCCACACTGGCCAGGGTAGTCTCATATATTTTTTTCAATTACATACTCTAATGCTTTTGAGCTTTCTCTTTCTTCCAGTTTATAATATATTTGAGCATCTTTCCATGTTGCTACAATAAAGCTCTAAATGGCTGTACCAAGTTTCACTGTTATTAATAACATAACTATTACCCCATTACCTTTCCAAGAATGGGTGTTATCAGTCTTCTAAATGTTTGCGCCATTCTGAGAAGTAAACAAAAATTTTTTGCATTTAAAAAATTGATATATTTTATATATGTATTTTTATTTGGTATCACCTATTTAATATATATATGACTTTTGGTATATGTGGCACCTTTTAAATATATGTAGCTCCATTTTAACATCTGCAGTGCCTTATCTATGTTTTGTCTTTTTAATTATGTATTAACTATATATACTCCTTTTCTTTTAATTGCCTGCCTACACAAGTATTATTTCTTATTACTGAACTGTAAAAGCTCTTTTTCAATTAGAGAAATTAGAACATTTATTATTATACATGTGGTAAATATTTCCCCCCCATATTGGCTTCTAACTTTATGGTTATGCTTTTTTGTCTATTTTTTGTGTGATACAGAAATATTTAATTTAATATAGTCAAATTCTTCTTGGTTGGATGTCATGTGTAGAAAGATCTTCAAATCTTAAAAGTATAAAAACATCCCTGGCCAGTGTGGCTCAGTTGGTTGGAGAAGTCATCCCATATACCAGAGGATGGTGGGTTTGATTCCCAGTCAGGGCACATAACCAGGTTGTGCATGTGAGGATGGCAGTCGATGTTTGTTTCTCACATCAATGTTTCTCTCTCTCTCTCTCTCTCTCCCCTACTTCCTCTCTCTAAAATCAATTTTTAAAAAATATAGAAACATGCACATATGCCTTCTTCATATAACTTTATCTTTTTTAATGTTTAAATCTTTAATTTATCTGGTATTTATTTTGATATAAACAGTTATATATAACACCAGCTTCTCACCTAGCCTCCCAAATCACTAACAATTTGATGAAATTTTTTATAATACAACCTTTATTTTCTAATTCAAAATAAACTTCTAAAGACTGCATCAAGTATTCTCTTAAGCTTTCCAACTCTGCTAAAAAAAACTCCTACGAACATTAATATATTATTTGTAGTTTTTTTCCCCAAAATATATTTTATTGATTTAAGAGAAGAAGGGAGAGGGATAGGTAAAGCATCAATGATGAGAAAGAATCATCAATCGGCTGCCTCCTGCACACCCCCCACTAGGGATCAAGCCCACAACCTGGGCATGTACTCTGACTAGGAATCGAACTGTGACCTCCTGGTTCATAGGTCAACACTCAACCACTGAGCTACAATGGCCATGCTATTATTTGTACTTTTAATTAGAACTTAGGATAGGAAAATCTAGGTGGGTGTGGGTAGAAGGGGTCAATGGGAAAAAGGGGGACATCTATCTATAATAATAAAAGTGTAATATGCTAATTAGACTGAACAGCTGAACAACCTTTCGGACCTCATTCCGGATGTCCTTCTGGACAAAGCCGTGGGGTCAGGGACTGAGGCAGATGCTGTTAGGGGTGATCGGGCAGGCAGGTGAGCAGTTGGGGGCAATCAGGCAGGCAGGCAGAGGGGTTAGGGGTGATGAGGCAGGCAGAGTGGTTAGGGGCGATGAGGCAGGCAGGCAAGTGGTTAGGGGCGATCAGGCAGGCAGGCGAGCAGTTAGGAGCCAGCAGTCCCGGATTGCGAGAAGGATGTCTGACTGAACTGGCAGTCGGACATCCCCCGAGGGGTCCCGGATTGTGAGAGGGTGCAGGCTGGGCTGAGGGACCTCCCTCCCCCTGTGCACGAATTTCGTGCACCGGGCTTCTAGTATTTTTAATAATAGACGTTTAAAAAAACAAAATAAATAAAAAGATAGCAAAATTTAGGAAAGATTTTATTCTGCATAGATATAAGAACTCCAAAAGCACTAAACAAATTGATTTTCAGAGATATATAAGCAAGTCTATGTAACAAATATTTCTGAGTCCATATAATATATGGCACATATAATATATGGCACACATACATATATATTTGAGAACATAATTGCTATACTTGTATCCTATATTTCATTTGATAGAAGAATCAGATATTTTTATTTATTATTATTATCATTTTTATTGATTTCAGAGAGGAAGGGAAAGGGAGAGAAAGGTAGAAACATCAAATGATGAGAGAGAATCATTGATCGGCTGACTCCTGCACGCCCCTACTGGGGATTAAGCCTGCAACCCGGGCATGTGCCCGTGATCGGAATTGAACCCAGGACCTTTTAGTCCACAGGCCGACGCTCTATCCTCTGAGCTAAATAGGCTAGGGTGAAGAATCAGATATTTTTAAAAGGCAGAGTTTGACACTGTCTGGTTGCTCAATGGTTAGAGCATTGGCCTGCACACTGAAGGGTCTAGTCAAAGGCATGTACATGGGTTGTGGGTTTACTCCCTGCCCCTGGTCAGGGCATGTGTTGCAGGCAGCCAGTAGCAACCAGTCTCTCTCACATCGATGTTTCCCCCCCTCTCTCTCTTCCCCTCCCTCCCTCCCTTCACTCTCTCTTAAAAGAAATGGAAAAAATATCTTCCAGGTGAGGATTAACAAAACAAAACAAAACAAAAAAAGGCAGAGTTTGAGTTTTTAAGGGAACATCTTTCAGTTTTAGACACCTAAATAAATCTTCTCTCAAGAGTGCTATTTTGTCTAGCTTTTCTAACCTTTATCATCTGAAACTGGTCAACAATATTATTTGAGTCAATAACTATTTATTCAGCTCTTCCCGAAAGCAGCCAGAGGTGACCTCTGAAAATAGTTTGCTATTTACTTGACCCAGAAAGCCCCACAAAATCATGCACATCAAGATGTTCAAATGTTCATGTTCACTTTAAGAACACTTGTGAAACTGCCCAGGTATACATATTCAAAAAGCCACCAAGTATTTAAAGGATGTCACTTTACAGAAGTAATACATGCCATTCCGTCATTACAATGGTGGAGTTGGTAGATGTGCCCAGACCAAACAGTGGGGTTGGACACAGGGTTGGTGGCCCAAAAAGAGTGAATTTTTGCTGCACATGCTTAAAAATGCAGAGAACAATAATGACTTAGGGTTTAGATGTAAATTCTCTGGTCATTGAACACATTCAGGTGCACAAAATTCCCAAGATGCAACATAGAATTTACAGAGCTCATGGGTGAATTAACCCATACTTCAGCCCTCTCTACCACATTGAGATGATCCTTACTGAAAAAGAGCAGACTGTTCCCAAAATAGAAAAGGAGGTTGCACAGAAGAAAAAGATATCCCATAAGAAACAAAAATTTATGGCCTCATCCCTGGCCTGTATGCTGTGTGGCTCAGTTGGTTGAACTGTCCTCCCAGGCACTGAGAGGTCACCAATTTGATTCCTGTTGCTGGCACATGCCCTGGTTACAGGCTGAATCCCCGGTAGGGGGCATACAGGAGGCAGCCAATCGATGTTTCTTTCTCTCTCTCAATAAAAAACATATTAAAAAAAAGAAAGAAAAGAAAACCAAACCTATGGCCCAGGAATAAATTCAGCATATAATAAATACAAATAAAGTAAAAAAAAAAGCAAAGAAAGCAAAATTATTTATTGAGAGTCTACTATATGTCTAGTAATGGGTAAAAACAAATATTAGGAAATACATGGTTCTCTTTAAAAACAATAATTTGCCCTAGCTGGTTTGGCTCAGTGGATAGAGTGTCAGTCTGTGTACTGAAGGGTCCCGGGTTCGATTCCAGTCAAGGGCACATACCTGGGTTGTGGGCTCGATCCCCAGTAGGGGGCATGGAGGAGGCAGCCGATCAATGATTCTCAACATTGATGCTTCTACCTCCCTCTCCCTCTCACTTCCTCTCTAAAATCAATAAAAATATATTTAAAAAAAAACACCCCAAAACAATAATTTGGTTGGGCAAACAACATATGGGGAACAGAATAAGATAATGATAAAGTATAATATAGTTAAAATGTAATAAGTGCCAACTTATGTTAGTCTAATCATCACACAAACTATTTCAGATGAGTAAAGTTACAACATAAATTCCAATTTGCATTATACTTTTTTATACATTATCTTTCTATCCATTTTCTACCTTCCACCCACACTTCTTCCTCACCTTATTTTATTAGACCTCCTAGCATTTCCTGGATATTCTAGCTTGTCTTGTTCTTTTCTTTATGCCAAAGCTCTCCAACAAGCCTTGTCCATGTATGGCCCTGCTCTACTATTCTAGTAAGAAATTTCCAAATTAAAATTCACTCCTCATCTAACCTATGCCAATCAAAATTCCCATTCCCTTGTGGTTTCTCAGCTAGGTGCTAGAAAAGCAATTAATGGTTTCTCTTATAATCTTTCTACAAGTGTTTGCTTATTAACTCAAAAGTGTCTCTGGTTTCTCTAAAGAACTGGAGTAATCTCAAGAGGAAAAAAATCAAATAGTTTAGAAAATTAAACAATTTGCCCTAGCAGGATTGGCCCTGAATAAAGTTTACTTTTGGTGAGGCAAATTCTTCAGAATCTCTTTTCTCATACCACTCTTGCTCACTTTCCCCCACCTCCCATTAGGATATTGCTTTCACACTGCTCTTAGTTGCTGATTCCCCCTCACCCAAAACTTTCAAATACCCCAGATCTAGATATTTCTTCATTAATGTTTCTTTTTCCCTATTAAAAATTTCTACCCTATGACCTGTTTCCTCAAAGCTTTGCTAGCTAACATTTAAGTGATATTAATATTCCAAATGTCCTCCCTGCTTTTACCACTCTCTACTTGCTTTTGTCTGCATACTTTCTGAGACAAAATGAGCTCTGTTACATTCCTATTGGCTGTATATGAGGATTTCGTTTTCTCTTGTACTCACTCCAAGCCTGTTTTCATCCCATGCACTTACATGTCAAGGTTATCAATCGCCTCCTTATGGCTCAGTCAATGGTCAAAGTTTAAGTCTTCTTCCTGCTAGAACTACTCGCAGCATTTGATCCAGCTAATATCTCACTCTTCATTGAAGGTTTGCAGGCTAACGCTCTAACTACTGAGCAAACCAGCCAGGGCCCTAAGTTCTATTTCAACATCACAGCCAGATAATTCTTATTAAACTCAAAGTCCTATCATGTCATTTCTCTATTCAAAATTCTCTAATGGCTTCCCAGCTTACTCCCAGCTAAAGTCAACATTGTTATAATAGTCTACAGAGCCCTAAATGATCCGGCCCTATTATTTTTCTCTCATTTCCTACTACTTCCCCTTTACACACTACTTGGCAGTCATACTGGCTGCTCAAAAGCATCAAACATATTTTAGCCTACCCCTTAAATATAATTTAGAAATCACAAAGTCTAAGAATCACTAAGCTAAACTAAAAGAGGTATAAATAGATATTTTATTTCTAGATATCTAGGTATTCAAAGTAATCTACCCTTATCTATGATGTTCTCTAGCCAGTAAATATCCTATGTAATAAAAGGCTAATATGCAAATTGACCAAATGGCAAAATGACCGGTCGCTATGATGCACACTGACCACCAGGGGGCAGGACGCTCAACGCAGGAGCTGCCCCTTGGTGGTGAGTGTACTCCCACAGGGGGAGCGCTGCTCGTCCAGAAGGCGGGCTCACAGCGATGGCAGGAGCCTCTCTCACTTCTGCAGCAGCGTTAAGGACCCCTCAGGGAATGTGCGACTCCCGGCTTAGGCCTGCTCCTAAGCCAGCAGTCAGACATCCCCCCAAGGGGTCCTGGACTGCAAGAGGGTGCAGGCTGGGCTGAGGGACCCCCCCACCCCCCAGGGCCTCTAGTAATGAAATAATATTACTTACACAAAGAAAAGGGTCTTCCAAAAGCTGTAATCTCAATTACTTCACTAACCCTAAATCTCACAAAAAACCAGTTAGCTAGTTTTCTGGAATGATAAAGACAAAGTAATCAGCTGACAATTTTTTTAAAAAATAAAAATTTACTAAAAAAATTGTGAGAATATGGATTAAGATTTCAATTTGGTAATCGTATCCTATATAATAAAAGGCTAATATGCAAATCGACCAAATGGTGGAACGACCGGTCGCTATGACCCACACTGACCACTAGGGGGCAGACGCTCAATGCAGGAGCTGTCCCCTGGTGGTCAGAGCGCTCCCACAGGGGGAGCATTGCTCAGCCAGAAGCCGGGCTCACAGCTGATGAGTGCAGCAGTGGTGGCGGGAACCTCTCCCGCCTCCACGGCAGTCAGACATCCCCCAAGAGCTGCCAGACAGCGAGAGGGTGCAGGCCGGGATGAGGGACCCCTCCCCCACTGAGTGCATGAATTTTGTGCACCGGGCCTCTAGTAAATATATAAACTTTTCTTTGTTAAACCAGAAAATATCTCAGTGTGATATACAACTACCTACTCTGTAAACAAGTTCTACTCAATGCAGCTGGTCTGTAAACTGTGTATTGATGGTCTGTTTTGAAATAAGAGGCTTGCATTAAGAATGCAATTCAATACACTACTTCCTTCACCAAGAAAATTTTGCTATGAAAAAGTTTCAGATGCCCTAACCGGTTTGGCTCAGTGGATAGAGCGTCGGCCTGCGGACTCAAGGGTCCCAGGTTCGATTCTGGCCAAGGGCATGTACCTTGGTTGCGGGCACATCCCCAGTAGGGAGTGTGCAGGAGGCAGCTGCAGCTGATCAATGTTTCTCTCTCATCCATGTTTCTGACTCTCTATTCCTCTCCCTTCTTCTCTGTAAAAAATCAATAAAATATATTAAAAAAAAAAAGTTTCAGATGAACTAAACAGTGTGCTTACTCCTGTAAATGTTTTACATACTGGCACAAGCCCCTAACTCACTGCATACTAATAGCTAACATTTCATAAACTGGCACATGTCCATGAATCATACTTTGGGTATCACTGCTCTAAATCACCTCCTGGGTCTTTATTCAAGGCTAATCAGTATTTTTAAATTTTATTTTTTTATATTTTTATTGATTTCAGAGAGGAAGGGAGAGGAGAAAGAGATAGAAACATCAATGATGTGAGAGAATCATTGATCGGCTGCCTCCCACATGCCCCCTACTGGGGACCGAGCCACAACCTGGGCATGTGCCCTTGACCCTTCAGTCCACAGGCCAATGCTCTATCCACTGAGCCAAACCAGCTAGGGCGTAATCAGTATTTTTTTAAAAACAGTTTCTATATGCAATATCAGAGTTTCTGTGCTACTTCTCATTGTGCAACTTATTGGAATTAATATACATCTTGTGTTTTCTAAATGTTGTTCAGTCTCATAAATATTACAGAATTTTAATCCTGGTCAGAAAGAAGGCTTTAACATCCAAGAAGAATGACATATTGATAAAAAATTCTAATTAAGAGATTAAAAATTATAATTTTAAAATAGATTATATAATAGCACTTCTGGAACATGAGATTTGATAACATGTTTTTTTAATATGTTTTTACTTTATTTTATTTACTAGAGGCCTGGTGCACAAAAATTTGTGCACTTGGGGGGGTCCCTCAGCCTGGCCCGTGCCCTCTCGCAGTCTAGGATCCCTCGGGGGATGTCCACGTTGACTTAGGCCCGCTCCCCGGGGGATTGGCCTAAGCTGGCGGATAGACATCCCTCTGGCAGCCCAGGAGCCCTCTGGGAATGTCCACTTGCCAGCGGGGACCAGGCCTAAGCTGCAGTCGGACATCCTTACCGCTGCTGAGGAGGCGGGAGAGGCTCCCGCCATCACTGCTGTGCTGGCAGCTGTCAGCCTGGCTTGTGGCTGAGCAGAGCTCCCTCTGTGGGAGCGCACTGACCACCAGGGGGCAGCTCCTGCAATGAGCGTCTGCCCCCTGGTGGTCAGTGTGTGTCATAGTGACCAGTCATTCCCAGTCGTTCTGCTGTTAGGGTCAATTTGCATATTACCCTTTTATTATATGCCTGGTGCATGGGTGGGGGCCGGCTGGTTTGCCCTGAATGGTGTCCTGGATTAGGGTGGGGGTCCCGCTGGGTGCCTGGCCAGCCTGGGTGAGGGGCTGAGGGCTGTTTTCAGACTAGCCACACCCCCTTCAGGGAGGGGGGTCCTGCTGCGGTGCCTGGCCAGCCTGGGTGAGTGGCTGATGGCTGTTTACAGGCTGGTCAAGACCCCCAGCAGGGACCCTCACCTCTTGAGGGTGTGGCCAGCCTGGGTGAGGGGCTGATGGCTGTTTGCAGGCTGCCAAACCCCCCAGTGGAGACCCTCAGCCCATGAGGGTGTGGCCAGCCTGGGTGAGGGGCTGATAGCTGTTTGCAGGCTGGCCACAACCCCTTCAGCGTGGGGGTCCCCGCTGGAGTGCCTGGCCAGCCTGGGTGAGGGGCTGATGGCTGTTTGCAGGCTGGCCACGGCCCCCAGCCACCCAAGCTCCCAGTGGAGGCTGGCTGGAAGCAGATATCTGGGATTTGTCTACTATAATTGAAACTTTTTTGCCTTTTGCGGAGGCCACAGCCAGCCAGAGCAGGCAGGAAGCTTGGCTCCCTCCATCGCTGGGGCAACCAAGCCTCCTGCTTGCTCCAGCTCCGTGGCTGCCGGCCGCCACCTTGGTTGGGTTAATTTGCATACAGTCGCTCTGATTGGCGGGGGGCGTGGCTTGGGGGCGTAGCGAAGGTACGGTCAATTTGCATGTTTCTCTTTTATTAGATTAGATTTCAAAGAGGAGAAGGAGAAAGAGATAGCAACATCAATGATGAAAGAAAACCATTGATCGGCTGCCTCCTGACGCCCCCTACTGGGGCTTGAGCCTGCAACCTGGGCAGGTGCCCTGACCGGAAATGGAATCATGACCTCCCAGTTCATGGGTCAACGCTAAACCACTGAGCCACACTGACCAGACTTAGTAACATATTAGCTTTGAACACTTTGTTTTAAAAGAGATATAAGATCATCCACTTTTCAACACTAACCTAAATATTCCATCAGCTGTTCAGCAGTTATGATTTCCATCATCGGTGGAAGTTTCACCTGAAAAACAAAGTATTTTTTTCTATAAAATCAAATGTTTTAGGTGATTAAAGTGTTTCTTTGTCATAAATACATGTATGTACCTATATGTATCTACTATTTGTATACATTAACATTCACATTAAAATCTTGATAGTGAATCTTTATAAAGCATAATAGTCAATCCTATAACAATAAAATTTACAAAATGATATAAGGTCTCATAGACATTGAGATGTCCTTTTCCAACGCCTAGTGCTCTGCCTTTCACCATCCACCATGATTGTCATTAGGCACCTATAACAATGTCCTGCATGATAAAAAAAGGCAGTTCAAGAGCAGGAAAAGGCATCAAACATGTTGTGATAGGTGACTCACTGAGCAGTTTTACTGAAGACAGGCTTAAATACAGTTCAATATCCCATTACTTCAGTCTATGCTGGCCATTTTTTATTGTTGAATGGCTAACATGAATACAGTATGAAAGTACTAGTCACACACTGAAGAATTCAGACTGTATTATTCCACTTGTAAAGTTTAAAAACAGGTTAAATTAAGTTATATTGTTTAGAGCTGCATACTTGGTGATAAAACTACAAAGAAAAGTAAGGAAATGGATACTACAAAAATCAGGATTATGGTTAGCCCTAGGGATAAGAGAAGTGATAGTTGGAAAGGAGCCTATTAGACATTTCTGGGGTACTGGTAATGCTGTATTTCTTTCTTTTTTTTAAATATATTTTATTAATTTTTTACAGAGAGGAAAGGAGAGGGATAGAGAGTTAGAAACATCAATGAGAGAGAAACATCTTTCAGCTGTCTCCTACCCACCTTCTACTGGCGATGTGCCCACAACCAAGGTACATGCCCTTGACCAAAATTGAACCTGGGGCCCTTCAGTCCACAGGCCGATGCTCTATCCACTGAGCAAAACCGGTTAGGGCAATGCTCTATTTCTTGACTTGCACGGTAGTTCTGCTGATGTTTGCTTTGCAATAAATTGTTAAACTGGACATTTCTGTTTTATGTACTTTTCTTATTATATTCCACAATAAAAAAGTTAAAATTAGATACATATTTAAGTTTCTAAAGCTAATTCAGCTGCAACACATCAGTCTAAATTAATTTTTAAAATGAACTGGCATGAGTTACACAGATATTACAGCTAATAATTATAAATATTTTAGGTGACTTATTCAAAAGCATACTCTGTGGTATATTCATAGGAAAAAATAAATAGTGTAGGATGGAAATTCAACCAAAGTAATTAACATATCAATGATAAGAGAAGAACTGCATAATTTAAAATTGTTCAGAATTATTTTCTACTCAACCAAGGAAATAATTTAAATCAGAAATTTCTCCAAATCCCCCAAGTGTTGAAAAAGGTTCTCTGGGTGTTCAAGTTACCAAATATGGTAATAGCATGCCACAAATTTTTGTTTGTTTGTTTTAATCAATGAATAAAATAGGTCTTATAAAAGATCCCTGTAACATCGAACAATGTGAGAACCTCTGAGAGCATGATAGTTGATGCTTATGATTTATGCATCCAGTGCATTTATTACTCAGTGAACCCAAGAGATTCCATGGAGGTTTTGATCATTGCTCAATTCTAATTATTTTCATGTTCTGTTTCAAAAAAATTATAATACTTTTTTAAAAATATATATTTTATTGATTTTTTACAGAGAGGAAGGGAAAGGGAGAGGAATAGAGAGAAACATCGATGAGAGAGAAACATCGATTTGGCTGCCTCTTGCACACTCCCTACTGGGGATGTGCCCGCAACCAAGGTGCATGCCCTTGACCGGAATCGAACCCAGGACCCTTCAGTCCGCAGGCGGACGCTCTATCCACTGAGCCAAACCGGTTAGGGCAATACTTTCTTTTTTTTTTTTTTTTTTTAAATGTTCTATTTCTTTTTTTTTTTTTTCAATATATTTTATTGATTTTTTACAGAGAGGAAGGGAGAGAGATAGAGAGTTAGAAACATCGATGAGAGAGAAACATCGATCAGCTGCCTCCTGCACACCCCCCACTAGGGATGTGCCCGCAACCAAGGTACATGCCCTTGACTGGAATCGAACCCGGGACCCTTCAGTCCGCAGGCTGACGCTCTATCCACTGAGCCAAACCGGTTAGGGCAATACTTTCTTTTTTTTTTTTTTTTTTTTTTAGCTGTTTTAGGTTTATAAAAAAATTGAGCAGAAATTATGGAGAGTTCCCATATATGGTATGTTTTTAAACTGAAACTTATTGGCAAATTATGGTCCCTGCTTGTTTTTCTAAATAAAGTTTTATTAAAACATGATTTATGTATTGTCTGGCTGCTTTTGCACTATAGTAGCAGAGTTGAATCTTGGCAAAAGGGACCATATTAGCCCACAAAGCCTAAAATATTTGCTATCTGGCCCTTTACAAGAAAGTTTACTGATCCCTGCTTTAGGTGATTTTAACTGAAGGCTATAGGTGCCTTCAGTATTGCTTTTGGATGTCTGATATTTAAACCAGTAGTTTATATTCACTGTGATGTTCATATCTGAACAACTATCAGGCCAATCTGAAAGACCATTACACCAAGCAATGTTTCTTAAACAAAATAAGACCTATATATTATTTTATTCCAGATATATTCGCTACTGAAATATATTCACCAGAAAAATTCCATAAACGAAGCTTATCCTCTGCTTTGGTTAATGTAGTAGTCCTACTATAAAATTATCAAGATAAGAAACAAAGGCACTAACAAGTATATGTATTTGGGAAATACATTCTATAAACAAATTTCTGAAAACAGATAATTTCAGGGTTCAGCCTTGGAATTTCCAAATAATTGCCTATCATGGGTTTCTTCAAACATTTGAAATAGAAAATGACAATCTGTATATTGATTTTAGAAGACAACAAATACACAAATATTTTAACTGACTTATTCACAAGCATCCTCAGTGGTATATTCATTTTCTGAATCTTAGCCAATAAAATATCCTGGATGTTCATTAAAACTAGAAATGAAAGAGCTAATAGTGAAGAAAAATACCTGCCTCTCACTAACAACTAACATTTTGGAGCTATCAACAGATCTTAATTTTTTTTATCCACAAAATGGTATTCCTGAAAGCTTGCTTTTCTTTTTGCTTTCCTCTACCACAATTACCTTAAAAGCCAGTGCCAAGGTTTTAATAATAATCCTAAGACTGAAGGGCTGCGGGTTCGATTCTGGGTACCTCGGGCCTCGGCTGCAGGCTGGATCCTCGCCCAGTTGGGGCTTGTGCAGGAAGCAGCCAATTGATGCGTGTCTCTCTCTGTCTCTCCCCCACACCTCCACTCAATGGAAAATAAAAATAAATGGAAAAATATCCTCAGGTGAGGATTAACAACAACAGCAACAAAAACATATTTAAAAAAGGAAATTGCCGAAACTGGTTTGGCTCAGTGGATAGAGCGTCGGCCTGCGGACTGAAAGGTCCCAGGTTCGATTCCGGTCAAGGGCATGTACCTTGGTTGCGGGCACATCCCCAGTGGGGAGTGTGCAGGAGGCAGCTGATCGATGTTTCTAACTCTCTATCTCTCTCCCTTCCTCTCCGTAAAAAATCAATAAAATATATTTAAAAAAAAAAAAAAAGGAAATTAGCTCTTAGGTAATCTGGCAAATAGCTCCCTCAAGTTTGTAGCATGTTTTGATCTAGTTCCTGTTTTTTTGTTTTTTTGTGTGTTTTTTTTTTTGGGGGGGGGAGCCGGATTGTGAGGGTGAGGGGTGAAGAATGGTGGTGTCTTTTTTTCCTATTTTTCTTCAACCTTAAGCTCTTTTTGTTTTTTTACCAAAATAAGAATCAAATGTATTAATTCTTATTTTATGATTTCTAGGACTAATGTCTGGAAAAACTGTGGTATGCAGTTAGACAGACCTGAGCAGAGCAAGGAGGATGGGCCAAGTACAGAAGGTCACCAGGGTGGAATGCTGGGAACCAATTCCAGCATGTCATAATTTCAAGAGTTTCATCAAAAGGTTGATGAAACTTGGGGACTCAACAGGGTTGAGTCACACATGTAGTCACCTGTTGGGAATGGCTAAAGGCATTTCCCCAACTGAATAGGAAACTGATTGTGGCTGCCAGACAGTTAAAGGGCATCTTAATCTACATGTTATTGCCTCCTACTGGCCAAACACCTGAACAGCAGTAAGCTATTCCCCAAACTGACAATGCTTCTGTACCCTTTGAAGTGTATTATCTCCACCTTGCCTCAGGACAAATTGTGTTAATAAAAGCAAGGGTCCTAGACAAGGAGGGCCTCTTCAGTTCCTTTAGCTGAAGGTCCTCTGACCCCCAATGCCTTTCAAAATTATATCTCGTCTCCGGACTCTTTATTAGTCTCTGGATTCCTATGTCATCTACGCGCAGCCTTTTCCAGATTCCTGAACCCTTCTTGATGCTGGGACATGAACCCCGACAGTGGAAAGCCCTGGGTGCCTAGCAAAGGACAATTGTAGGGTGGGACCTAGCCTCCAGGGTGACCTTACTTCCCTAGCATGTCGCTGATCTTGCGGTTTGGACCCATTGACCTTTCCTCCCTAGAGATAACATCTAGGCTTCAGTTGTATTTCAGTTCCAGACCCAGAAGAACAATAAAAGCAGCCATAGCTGCATAGAATAATGACCACTGGCGCTGACCAATCAATCAATGGAGACCATAACCCTAAAAGGACATACCTGGAAAGCTGCTGACACTTCCCCTGGGACCTCCCCTAAAATCTCCACCCTTAAAAACCCTTAGGAAGGATGCAGAGCACTCTCCTTCCCCTTTCCCCTTTTATCCCTCCAGGTGGTTACCATTGCCTTCCTCACTTCTAAGCTCCAAGTCCTTCCTTTACCTCTACCACTTGTTTTCTATGCCCATTTCTTCTAGGAATAACTTTTCTACCTCTGTGACTTACCAAATAAATGTTCTATTATAATTTGAATCTTGGCTCTGAATTCTTTCCTAGCCAGATCTCAAATACCAAGGTTGCTGAACCC